TAGCCTGGTGATGGGTATTAAAGAGGGCACATTCTGTGTGGAGCACTGGGTGTTATGCACAAACAATGAATCATGGAACACTGCATCAAAAACTAGTGATGTAATGTATGGTGATTAACATAACAATAAAAAAATTAAAAAAAAAGTGAGTCCAAAAAGAAAATGTTGTGCAGAAGAAAATTAGGAAATTAGGATAGCTGGTGCTGGTGTGTGGGGCCCAGGAAGCCCCTGTCCAGCCAGCAGCATGTGAGTCTCTAGCATGGACGGGCACTGTGCTCACCCCATGCACCAGTTCTCAGCAAAGGACATCTATGGGGATATGTTCAATCTGCACAATCTGTACCTGGGCATCGTCACCAACATGCCGTAACAATGTGGCAAACAGACACGAACTGCACTAAGCTCCTCGACCCGCAAGCCCCCTATGCTGAGTGGGGTTCATGGAACCCGGCCTTCCCTTGTGACCAGCCGGAGAGGCAGCAACCAGGGAGTAATGTGCAGATGGGACAGTCCGCCGATGGCTCTAAGGTCAAATTCCATAAGCACAGCAAGATCTGAGTGACTAGGGAGGTCACCCACCCACTGTGGAAGGGGATGGAAGCTCAGCCCAAGGGGTGGAGTATGCAGGGGAATGCTATCAAATGGACCTTCACCAAGTTCCATATTGTCCAGAAAGCTGTGTGGTGACATGGTATGTCCCACAGAAGGGCCCCTGGTAATAAAGAAGGAGCTTCCCTGCCACCCATAGCTCTGCAGGTGTGCAGCCCCCACCCAAGCCCACTGTCCCTTGGAGCAGTCCACACAGTACCCTTACTGTCTCCCTGAAAACCAGGCTTCTGCTCTGGTGTAGACCCCAGACCAGGCAAGCACCCTCTACCGGAGGAATGTCCCTCCACCTGCTAGCTGCTCAGCACTCCCCACCCCTGGCTGTCTTGTGGGAATAAAACATACAGATTTGGGGGGAAAAGCATGAACAAGAGAAAATACATTTACATTACTGTCGTGTAAACCCTTGTGAGTAACTGGACTGGAGCAATGCAACCCGAGCTGATTAAGGGTCAGCTGTGTGCCTTTCCTGTTGGTTCTTTCTGGAGAACCTAACGAATACACCTCATTATACATAACTCTTTGTTATTGAAAGGCTTTAGTTTATTGTTGCTTTAGGGTTTACAGGACCAATCCACCTTTCCAAAATCTACCTTCCAGTGATTTTATATCACTTCACACAGAACATAAGACTATTTTAATATGTTCTTCTCACCCCACCCCCCAATTGGTGCTATGGGGGTCGTGTGTTTTATTTTGAGGTTCATCATGAACCAGGGCATATTGTTATTATGTTTGTCTTCACACAGTTATCATTCAGAGACATTAATGTAAGACAGATGTTTAGGTTTGTCCATGTAGACCCCATAGCTGATTATCTTCATCCCTTTGTGTGGATTCACATTGTTATCTGATAGACTATTCCTCTCTGCGAGGAGTGTCTGTCACTTGCTGTGGTAGCGAGTGTCTGTGGGTGGTCAATTATGTAACATTGTGCAGTCTGAAAGCTTTATCTTGCTTCATTTTTGAGAGACTTTCACTGGATAATGAATTTCAGGTGGACAGATTTTTCTTTTTTACAGATACATTTTTTTAAGGTTTTATTTATTTGAGAGAGAGAGAGTGTGCAAGTGGGGCAGAGGGAGAGGTAGAAGCAGACTCCCCGCTGAGCAGACAGCAGGACAAATGGCTTGATCCCAGGACTCCAGGATCATGACCTGAGCCAAAGGCAGACGCTTAACCAAATGAGCCACCCAGGTCCCCTACAGATACATAGTTTAATACCTTTCTTTTAAAAGATATTTCTCCACCGTCTTCTTGCTTGCATTGCTCATAATAAAATCTGCTTTCACCATATTTACCCTCTGCATACCACCTGCATGTTCTCTCTGGCTGCTTCGCAGATGATTCTTCCACACTGGTGTTCAGCAATGTGACTGTGATGTGGATGACACGGTGGGTACTTCGTGGTTCCCAAGCATGAGCTTTGTTGAACTTCTTGAATATGTTGGTTATTGTTTTCACCAAATTTGTAATATTTCTGTCCAATATTTCTTTAAGCATCTTTTCTATTCCCTCCTGTCTGTCTTCTCTGCTCGGGGGCTCCAGTTACAAGTATAGTGGGCTGCATGAGGTGGTCCCGCAACCAAATGAGGCTCTGTTCATTTCTTACAGTCTTTTTTGGGGGGTCTTATTTCATTTTGAATGGTTAGTACTTTGATGTTGTGGAGTTCGCGAATCTCTTCTTTCGCAGAAACTAATCTGTTGTCATCCGGTGCATTTTTACTCTCAGACACTGACTGCAGTTTTCATCTCCAAAGTGAGATGTGGCCCTGTTCAAAGGTCATCCACGTCGGCACTGAACATGTTCAGTCATGCTCTGCCTCTTCAAACAAATGGAATCTCATTGCAATGGTAATTTTTGTGTTGTCCCTCATACATCTTCTGTAGAGCCTGCCTTTGGGGCAGGGAGGAGGGAGCAGCCTGTGGACCTCAGACCTGGTGACCTGGGTCAGACCTGCTCATTGGTTTGTGCACAGGTCTCCTGGGGCTGGAGGAGAGGGTGACACAGGTGGGGAAGGGGTTTGTGTCTCACTTCCCCATCTGCCTGTGTCACCATGAGAAGTACCATTACTCTCATAGGACTGACAGTAATAGCCTTGTCCTCAGCCCAGGCCCTGCTGATGGTCAGGGTGGCTGGGTTCCCCAAATTGGTGCTTGAGAATCGGTCAGGGATCCCTGAGGGCCGGCTGCTATCACCATAGATAATCATCATGGGTGCCTGGCCTGGCTTCTGCTGGTGCCAGGAAACATATGTATTTCCTACGTTGTCTCTCCCACAGGTGATGCTGGCTGTCTGTCCCAGGCTCACTGACATTGAGGGGGGCTGAGTCAGCACATAGGCAGCCATGGAAACTGCAAGAGAGAAAAGGAGTGGTGGGCTTTCAAACTCAGGTCTCGTCTTTAGGAAGCCCCCACCCACGTGACCTAGATTGGAGTTTAGGGATACTCTGGACTTACAGGGCACACCTCCCATCAGTCTCAGCCCCTAGGACCCCTGGGCATGGCTGGTGGATGGAGCCTTTGAACAAATAAGAACCCTGACCCTCTTTCCCTGGGCAAGTGCAGCCCCTCAGGGCTCACACAGAGCCCTCCAGCCCCTCATCCTGCAGCAGGGTCATGAGGATCCTGCCCCCCACAGGCAGTGCCCTGCTGAGCTCCATGTCGGGGCCAGGCTTGTGACAGTTCTGTGGGTCTGGGTGGCTGTGAGCCTGGGCTCAGCACCTGTGCAGTGAGCCAGGAATCCGAGGAGGAAAGGGGTCCAGGTCATGGTGGTGGTGCCCCGATTTTCTCCCTGAGGCACTAGGCTGGGCACATTCCTTCCCAGGCCTCTCTTATCCCCTTGCTGGAAACACCTGAAGGTTATGCAAATCATTTGGGGCTCAGAGGCTGCTGCTGAGGACCTTCGCAGTTTCAGAGAAGGCTTGGCCCCAAGAGGCAGAGAGGGAGGGGTGGGCCCTGCAGACCTCCCATCAGCCCAGGGGATTCTGCTTTACCCAGTTGTCCCATAATTGGTTCTGAAATGTCCTTCCCAGATTTTCTCCTTTCCTTGCTCCTAGGTGACCATAAGAGGCTTAGGTCAGTGCAGTGTCTACCCAGACTCCTGTTTGTGAGCATCAAACATGAAGAAAATTCTTCACTTGCTAAGCACACATGGAGTTTTGCAAGAACCATTGAGGTGCTGTAGGTGATGTCCTCAGGGAGAGCTCCTAGGGCAGGTCATAGATTCTATGGCTCAGTATCCCCCGTGTGTACTCAGTTCCTGGGATAGATGCAGTGCTTGAGCAAGGATTGACAGTGACTGGTTTTTAGCATAAATGGGCTGGGCTGGAGAGGCATGAAGTACTGGACCTTGTGCAGGAGACAGAGGCAAATTCTTAAAGAGACAGATCTGAGGAACACCGAGTCAGAATTTTTTGTTAGCGGTAAAGGTGAAACTATAGAAAGCCTATGATTTTTCCTTTAGGTCTCAGGTGGTAGTGACGAACCCTCCCTGGCTATTAGAACCCCTGATGCCCATACACACCCCATGTCCAGGTGAGCTCTGCTGCCCCCTAGAGGCGACTCCACATTGGCGGCTGCAGGTGCAGGGAAGACCTTCCTCCAGGTGGAGATTCTGAATCTATTGCTTAGAACTTGAGTCCCTGATCCATGAACTTTTTGCTCCATGTGAGAAATTGCTTTTCTCTAAGTAGTCCCTGCCAGCCTCAAGATCATGCAGGTGCTGATCAGATTACCCGTGAAAATATGAGCAGGCTCATTTAGAGGAGGAGAATGCAGGGCTCGTCTGAAGTATGGGTGGTGGGTGGTCATGCATGTGGTTTTGGAGCTTGGCACTAGGGGATGCAGGACTCAGGGATGGTCTCTTACTGGTGCCAGTGGCTGGTGCAGGAACAACCTGGTGCAGAGGTGACTATTACTTCCAAGTCAGAGACAGGAGAGCAGTCACTTAACAAACATAATCAGACCCACTTTGGTCTGGCAGACATTCTATCCTGGAAATTAGTGTGAACAAGACGCAATCACTTTATCAGTTTCCATCTCGGGTCTGGGGCTGCAGAGTGGATATATGTGTTTTGCTGATACAGCATATAGACTCCAACCCCTTCTAGCTGCATCTTGTCTTCTATATTCTTTTAGAAGCCACACTATGGCTATTCTCAGGTGCCACTTGGTCAGCATTGACCCCATCCATGGCCCAGAGCTGACCAATGAATGTGTCATGTGCCTGGGGATCTTTTGGGGGACTTTTGCTCTTGTGAAGAAAAGAAACAGTATAAATGTATGTTGTGCTCTTTCCCTTGTACTTGGGTGTGATAGTTGGAGCTGCGGCAGCCATCCCTAGGTCCGCTCAACAATAAGGCAAAGCAAAGCCTCCGTAGTAGTGATGGTGGGAGAAAAAGTGAGTACCTGGAGAACCACCATCTGAACTCAGACTTATTTCTGTGGGAGAAAAATAAGCATCTGAACGTTCATGCCTCTTGTTGGGATGTGCATGTATTGCCTTAATCTTCCTGACCAGTTAGGATGACAATAAACACAAAATGATCAATTAATAAAATAATTGTAGAAGAACGTGTGCAATGTTAGGTGATGTGCAGAGAATGAAGTGACATCAGACAAAATGACAGGCAGGGAGGGTGTGGGGAGAGGTTGGAGGAGGCCTCTCTGCGGAGGGGACTGTGGGGCTTCTGTCAGGATGGGAAGAAGGGGCAAGAACTGAAGCGTGTTTGGAGTCAGTCCCTCTGGGGAAGAGTCTGGCTTGTGTGGGATGCAGGGACATTTTCCAGAGTTGATATTTGCATTATATCTGTGTCCAATATATGGAGATGTTTCTGGCATAGCTAACGTTCATGGGTCCAGGGATCTAGAAGTGGAATTGGGAACATCCCCTCTCACTGATATTCCCAGTCACCTCCTGCAAAATTTTGACTGTCACCATGACCCTACACTCTGGTGACCTAGAGGTCTTAATTCTAAAGGAGAATTTAGACTGCTTCCACCCAGTGGCACCACAATGATTCTATTCAACTGAAAGCTGAGACTTCCCCTTGTCACTTTGAGTGTCTTGTGTCTCCATGGATGTCTCTGTCTGTCCTTCCAGGCTGATTGTTCATCCCCAACAAGTATCCTAGCCGAGAAAATGTGACAGCCTCATCCTGCCTCCTGCACATGCACTCCTGATCCACGAGGTGCAGAGGTTGCCTGGAGGACTGGGTTGGAGATAGGTCTGGGAATCTCAGATCTGGGGCCCGGGGCCAGACCTACTGTGCTTTGTCCACAGTCCTCCTGGGGCTGAAGGAGTGTGTCATACAGATAGGGAATCATTTGTGTCTCACATCCTTGTGTGTCTCTGTCACTATGAGCATTAGTACCATTGTCTCACACCTCACAGTAGTAGTGAGCTTCTTCCTTGGTCTTGGTCCTGCTGATATTTAGGGTGGCCGGGTATTGCAATTTGGAGTCAGAGAATTGGTCAGGAATCCTTGAGGGACACTTACTATTGTCCATTATGACCAGCACTGGGTCCTGTCTTGGCTTCTACTGGTACCAGTGTACACCACATTTCTATATTGTCTCCCTGACAGGTGATCACGGCCATCTGTCCCAGAGTCACTGAGCGCAGGGCAGCTCAGTCAGCACCAGGGAGGTGTTTCAGGAGCCCGGTCATGGGCTGAGCTGGGCCCTTCCAGAGCTATAGACAACACCTGATTCAGGGAAAGGTGGTGCTGTGGCCTCAGCCTCTGCATCCCCCAGCTGCACTCTGGTCCCATCCTTGGCATCAGAATGGGAAACTCATTCTGACACTTTTTCATCATGGTGCATGTGGGAATTTACTTGTTATATGATCACCTGCTGTTGGAGATTCATCACAACCTCTAGTCTATTTCCATGTGGTGCTTCTGTCTCTGACACCCCCCATCCCACTGCAGACCAGCGACTGGCATTGTTAACCCTTGATTCCTTTAATTTTTTTTCATTCATCTTTCATGTAAATATATGAATTGGGCCATAAACCAGCCCTGACTGAGGGACTCACTTCAAGCTCCGTGTCTCTGTGAGGGTTCCCAGGGCCATGTCTTTGCACACGGAGGGAGCTCTGGGGACTGGATAGTCAGTAGTCCCCCCTGGGAACTGGGTTCTGTCCCTGAAGCAAGGACGGCGCAGGGGCCAGAGATGGCCTGAGGCCATGGGAATCATGTCACCCTGGAGACAGTCTCACAAGGAGGCTGCGAATGCTCCTTCCAGGGACCAGGGGCTCCGAGTGCCCCACCTCCTGTCCCCTGAGACACTCGTGAGCAAGGAAGCTGCAGCCCCGGGTCAGAGTCTGCCTGGAGGTGGGGAGGGAGAGGCAGAGGGGTTAGGGCATCTCCGGACGTGCCCAGCACAGAAGGCTCAGCTCCCCGGGACCTCAAGTGGAGAGACAGGGCCTGGAATTTCCAGGTGAGGTACTCACTGTGTCCGGACTCCTCTCAATGCCCTGGGTAACAGCGTGTGAGTCTGACCCTCAGATCATGGTCCCTGCAGCCTGAGGAGATAAGGATGGATCATCATTACTTCCTTCTGAGGACTGAACCCTGGACCCCTGCTCACCCCGGGCCTGGTGTCCCTGTGAGGCTCCCCCTGCGCAGCCCCAGCCTCTGTCCTGGGGCTCCTGATGCAGCCCTGCTGCCCCCTGCTGGTGGAGGAGGCTCAGACCAGGAGCTTCCCTCCTGCAGGTCCCTCCATAGCCCCTGTCACCTGAGGAGGGGTGTGGACCTGGGTTTCCAGCCTCCCACAGGCAGCTGCCCCCCCGGCCCTGCCCAGTACAGAAAGTCACATACTCAGTGCAGGCAGGCAGGGCAGGTAAGATTCCTGCCCCTTGTCCAGGGATCAAAACGCCCTCGCCTGTCCCACTGGCTGTTGCAACAGGGTGGGTGCAGGGTAACGTGGAGTGTATTTTGAAAGGGTCACAGTCCAGGAAACGTTTGTGTGATCCTATTGGCACCCCTTTCTCTCCATTTAGGAGTGGAGTCTGATGCTGCCTGCATCCCAGTGAGTGTTGCTGGGTCACAGTGGAACAGGGGATGCTTCTAGGACTAATGTTACACATGGACCTAACCTTTATCACTGTTATTCCTATCATCTCCAACATGCCGTTTCTTCTCTTTCTTTCTTTCTTCTTTCTTTCTTTCTTTCTTTCTTTCTTTCTTTCTTTCTTTCTTTCTTCTTTCTTTCTTTCTTTCTTTTTCTTTCTTTCTTTCTTCTTTTTCTTTCTTTCTTTCTTTCTTTCTTTCTTTCTTTCTTTCTTTCTTTCTTTCTTTCTTTTTTCTGTTTCTATTACAACCTATAGCACTAACAGTCTGGGGCAGGAGGACTTCTACACGAGCCTCTAGGGTGATTTGGATGAAATAGGGAATTTGGGAATTCACATCTGAATATGCAATTTCAATTCTTACACATCATACTCTTCTGAGCCCTTTTCCTTGATTTCTACAGAAGATAGACAAAGACTCCCAGCCCAGCACCCCCTCACTACCACCCTGCAGTCTGTTTCATTTATAAAGCTCTGTCAATGTTTTTATGTCATTGAATTTGAAAACAAAGGTTCTTTTTTTAAGATTTTATCTATTTATTTGTGAGAGAGAGAGTGAGCACACAAGCAGTGGATGCTGCAGGCAGAGGGAGAAGCAGGATCCCCGCTGAGCAAAGAGCCTGGTGCGGGACTCAATCCCAGGACCCATGACCTGAGCCAAAGGCAGACACTTAACCAAGTGAGCCACCCAGGTG